TGGCCCCGATGCAATGATAAGGCATTCGGTGCTGTTTTTTACTCTTCTGATTCACACAGCGGAAGGACAAGTCAGTTACTCCATTCCTGAAGAAATGTCAAAAGGTTCGAAAGTGGGAAATATTGCGCAGGATTTGGGCTTAGATTTACAACGATTAAAGTCAGGAAAAGCGCGAATATTTACCAGAGACAGCACGGAATACATCGAATTGAACAGAAACACTGGGTTGCTGCTTATCAGAGAGAAAATGGATCGCGAATCTCTTTGTGCAAAAACAACACCGTGTGCGTTGCATCTTCAAATGATTTTGGACAACCCGATGGAATTATACACGATTACAATAGAAATCACGGATATAAATGATAATGCTCCCAGTTTCGAGAAAAGGGACTTTAGATTTGAGATCAGCGAATCAGCGGCGGCAGGTGCTGGTTTTATGCTCGGGGGAGCTTTCGATGCGGATGTGGGAACAAATGATCTTCAGAATTACTCGCTTAAACCGAGTGATCAATTCCGGCTTGAACTGCACAATCAGGCAGACGGTAGTAAAAACGTTGAGATGATTTTACAAAGACCACTTGATAGAGAAACTCAACGCTCACTTACTTTGTTGTTAGAAGCGTTTGATGGAGGCGATCCGGTGCTCTCTGGCACTGTACAGATACACATCACTGTGTTAGATATTAATGATAATGCTCCTGTCTTTACACAAAAAATATATAAAACTACCATAACAGAAAACGCACCAAAAGGTACTGTATTAACAATGGTGAGCGCGTCTGATGCAGATGAAGGATCCAACAGTGTAGTGACATACCACATTTCCGACACAATGAACAAAAATATGGCCGACATGTTTCTAATTAATGCAAAAGATGGTGAACTAATATTAAACGGACAGGTTGACTATGAAAAGGTGAGCCATTATGAACTTAATATTCAGGCAAAAGATCAAGGATCGCTTTCTAACGCATGCAAAGTAATTATCGACGTGCTGGACATTAATGATAATTCGCCTAGTATTCAGATTCTGTCTAGTTCCCATTCCATACCTGAAGGCTCCAAGTCTGGTACTGTTGTTGCAATGCTAAATGTTGATGATCTTGATTCAGGTGTAAATGGCCAGGTTCAGTGTGTCATAAATGAGAATATTCCCTTTGCCATAACATCTCAGTCTAGTAGCTTCTTCAGCTTGCAAACAGAGCAGGAATTGGACAGAGAAAGAGATTCTGAGTACAATATCAGTGTAATATGTGCTGATGATGGAGTGCCATCGCTCTCCAGCAGTATCTCTCTCCGTGTGCAGATATCAGATGTGAATGACAATGCTCCTGTCTTTGAGAAAAGTCACTATGAGGCGTGTGTGCTGGAGAATAACACACCTGGTCTCTCTATATTTACAGTTAAAGCCAGTGATGCTGATTGGAATCAGAATGCCCGTGTTTCTTATATTCTAGAAGACAGCACTGTTAATGGAGTCTCTGTCTCATCATATGTGTCAGTTCATCCTGACAGCGGACTGATTACAGCTGTGCGCTCTTTTGACTATGAACAACTCAAAGATTTCCACTTCCTAGTAAAAGCGCAAGATGGAGGCTCTCCTCCGCTCAGCAGTAACGCGACAGTGAAAATAATTAATCAAGATGAGAACGACAACGCTCCTCAGGTTCTGTTCGGGTATAATTATGAAGTGTACATGACGACTGACTCGAGGAAGAGTGACTGTAAGTTTTCTACACTCGGTGGGAAGAACGTCTTAGTGGTGGACCCGAGTTTTTCTGAAACTATGAGTCACACAATCAAGAAAAATAGTTCTATCGACGATCTCCAGTCTACAGAATCGGTAAGAAAGTTTTGGAACAATTATTCTTTATTTATTTTTAACTGAATAAGGTATTGTAGGGCTAATCAAGTTGACTATAAACACACAAATATATAAAAACACTTGTAAGGACTCTGAAATTAATTGGAAGTCTAAATGTTAATATCATTCAGCTTTATCTATTAACTAATACTTGTTATATTTATAACATGCTCAGCTTAGATGCACAAAATTGTTTTTTCCCCCTATGGTGTAAATGAAAACAACAACAATAAATAAATAAATAAATAAATAAATAAAAGCTGCATCCCTAAACTTAACACAAGTGGGATGTCAGCAGAAGCGAAAACTTACAAATGCGATCGTTAGAATTCATACGGATTTGCTACCAATTAGCTAAACTAATAAATAAATAAACAAGCTACGGATTGACTCAAGACTGTGTTGGTTTTCCCTTATTCTAATACCAATATCTCGTACTTCACCAAAAGTTTCCATATGTTGGAAGCATATTTCTTTGTGTTTATTGCTTGCTGTGTTGCTTACTGCTGGATTCAGTTATCTGGGACTGTATCAAACAATAGACTAGAAGGTTGTACAATTGCCATGGGTGCTGTTATAGCTATATGTTTGTTTGAAAAGGGACGGGAAAACTTGTGTATAATTGTTTTGGTGTGCATGGCAACTGACTCAAGTACGAATGACTGTACTTATTATATAAAGCCTTAACTTTCTGAAATATCGAGATTAGACGGAGTTTAACTACACATTTTATTCCTGTAAATTGATGGAATTGTTTTCTGATTCCTACCTAAATGTATGCCAGGAGAGAGTGGCTCTTTTTCTATGTACTCATTCTTTAGAATGTTTTGGTTGTGAACAAAGATCTGAATATTATGCATTGCCTTAAATGTAGGGAGAAATAATAAATAAACTACAGTGTGATATTTTTGCAGGTCTACTTGTAGACAACATGTTAACAGTTGTTAAAGCGAATCATTGGAAAAATGTACAATTATCATAAAAACGCTAGGGGACATTGACACCGTTCAGCACCACTTGCGCTGAACAGCGCCTCGCTGGATGAACGTCTACTAAAGAGGGCTATGGTCTTCTTTATTGTGCTGTACTTATAATTTTACTCAAAATCTAATTGTCACCTACAAAACCACTTATTCAGTGAGTGATTATTTTCACATCCAACCTGCTTATTAGTCTTTCATTTAATCAGGAAATTGTCCTGGCACACAGATAGTATGACAATTATCATAGAATAATAACTGGCTTTATTTGCAGTGTCATATAAGCGTAGAAACTAATATTCGTTGATAAAAAGCGTTTGTATGTATAACTTTGACATGCAATTCCTTATTTACACTCAGAGGGCCGCTGTTCATCGACACACAGCGGCGATACCGTTTATTTCAGAGACCCTTTCCCAGTATCACACAATTTCACGGAGAAAAAGACAATACAGCGGTCACATCAAATTATTTTCCTACACGACACTTCTATTCAACGCTCGTCGTCGTTTACGGAGTTAATGTCTGCATTTGGAATACCATATATTTAGAGGATACGGACTGTGTTGTATTTTTAAAGCGTCTGTGGAGCTGAGACAATGCCTGGCCCTGAAGCAATGGCACGGCATTCGGTGCTTTTTTTGACTCTTCTGATTCAAACTGCACGAGGACAGGTCAGTTACTCCATCCCAGAAGAAATGACAAAAGGATCGACGGTAGGAAATATTGCGCAGGATTTGGGCTTGGATTTACAACGATTAAAGTCAGGAAAAGCGCGAATATTTACCAGAGACAGCACGGAATACATCGAACTGAACAGAAACACTGGATTGCTGCTTATCAGAGAGAAAATGGATCGTGAATCTCTTTGTGCAAAAACAACTCCGTGTGCGGTGCATCTTCAAATGATTTTGGAAAACCCGATGGAATTATACACGATTACAATAGAAATCACGGATATAAATGATAACGCTCCCAGTTTCCTGAAAAAGGACTTCAGATTTGAGATCAGCGAATCGGCGGCGGCAGGTGCTGGTTTTATGCTGGGCAGAGCTTTCGATCCGGATGTAGGAACAAATGCTCTACAGAGCTACTCGCTTAAACCGAGTGATCAATTCCGGCTTGAATTGCACAGTCAGGCAGATGGTAGTAAAAACGTCGAAATGATTTTACAAAGTCCACTTGATAGAGAAACACAAAGCTCATTTACTTTGTTGTTAGAAGCGTTTGATGGAGGCGATCCGGTGCTCTCTGGCACTGTACAGATACACATCATTGTGTTAGATAATAATGATAATGCTCCTGTTTTTATGCAAAAGGTATATAAAACCACAATATCAGAAAACGCACCAAAAGGTACTATATTAACAATGGTGAGCGCGTCTGATGCAGACGAAGGATCCAACAGTGTAGTGACGTACTACATATCTGACACAATGGACAGTAATGTGTTCGACATGTTTCTTGTTAAAGAGCAAACTGGTGAACTAATATTAAACGGCCATGTTGACTATGAAAAGGTGAGCCATTCTGAACTTAATATTCAGGCAAAAGATCAAGGAGGGCTTTCTAACACATGCAAAGTAATTATCGATGTGCTGGACATTAATGACAATTCGCCTAGTATTCAGATTCTGTCTAGTTCCCGTTCCATACCTGAAGGCTCTAAGTCTGGTACTGTTGTTGCAATGCTAAATGTTGATGATCTTGATTCAGGTGTAAATGGTCAGGTTCAGTGTGTCATAAATGAGAATATTCCCTTTGCCATAACATCTCAGTCTAGTAGCTTCTTCAGCTTGCAAACAGAGCAGGATTTGGATAGAGAGAGAAAAGCTGAGTACAATATCAGTGTAATATGTGCTGATGATGGAGTGCCATCGCTCTCCAGCAGTATCTCTCTCCGTGTGCAGATATCAGATGTGAATGACAATGCTCCTGTCTTTGAGAAAAGTCACTATGAGGCGTGTGTGCTGGAGAATAACACACCTGGTCTCTCTATATTTACAGTTAAAGCCAGTGATGCTGATTGGAATCAGAATGCCCGTGTTTCTTATTTTCTAGAAGACAGCACTGTTAATGGAGTCTCTGTCGCTGTGGTCTCCATTAACGTGGCTGTGGCTGACAGCTTTCCTGAAGTGTTGTCAGAGTTCACAGACTTTACGCATGAAAAACAGTATGACAAAAACCTGACATTTTATTTAGTTCTCGCACTGGCTGCTGTTTCTTTCTTATTTATCACTTGTGTGGTTGTCATAATATCAGTAAAGGTCTACAGATGGAGACAATCTCGCTTCTTATATCAGTCCAATCTGCCTGTTATTCCGTACTATCCACCACATTACGCAGACACAGGAGTCACTGGAACTCTGCCGCACGGGTATAATTATGAAGTGTGCATGACGACTGACTCGAGGAAGAGTGACTGTAAATTTTCTACACTCGGTGGACAGAATGTCTTAGTGGTGGACCCGAGTTTTGCTGAGACGATACAGCGCACGATCAAGAAAAATAGTTCCATCGACGATCTCAGCTCTGCAGAATCGGTAAGAAAGGTTACGTTAAACTTTTAATGTTATTATTATTATTATTAATATTATTAAATGTATTATTATTTATTAACGGAAAAGACAAATAATATGGCTGCTCAAGTAGACCATAAACAAATAGGCTTGGAGAACTGTGCGATTACGTGTTTTAAGTCGTGAATAAACAATTACTTATGTAACTTTTTTTGTTTGTTTTACTTTTCATTTTAATACATGCATCTCGAACTTTTGCAGAAGTCACACTGTTTTCCTTATGTTGCTTATTACTAGTGTTGGTTCGAGTTATTCAAGATCGTATCATACAATTAACTAGAAAACTGTCAAGTTCGGCATTGGTGCATGTAAAGTTGATACCTTTGTTCGAAAAGGAAAATAAACTCTTAAGTGTGCATGACGGTCACACAATTTGTTCTTGCAAATTGTTTCATGTGTTGTAAGACTCAGAGAATTGTCCTCTTTTTTCCTCTTTTTTTTTCTATGTAGTCGAAATGGCGTTAGTGGTGGACCAATGAGGCACAGTTAGATTGCATTGGGTTAAGCGTCGTATTTTTGATGTAAACTGCGTGAAATAAATAAATAAATAAATAAAAGAAGAATGTGAATAATTGGAAAATATGGAATTATTTTGGTACAATGCAGAGGCATTTTGACACCTTTCAGCACCACTTTTGTTGAACAGCGCCTCATGTGAAGTTGTCTACTACTATTAAACAGAGGACTGTGATCTTCATTATGTTCTTTGATCGGAAGTATTATACTTTTGCTAAAATACTTTCAGGTTTATTCTTCACTTTTGCCTTTCTGGTTCCAAGTCATGTATTTAATCATCGGAGAATTCAGATGACTGGTTTTAAATGAGAGATAAATAGGCCTAGAAAACAGTACATACCGTTGCTAAGATTCTCTTTAGGCATAACTATATAAACCTGCTTTGCAATTCCTAATTTACACTCAGAGGGCCGCTGTTCGTCGACAAATGGAGGAGAAACTGTGTATTTTACAGACCCACCCCCAGCATCACATAATATCAGAGAGAAAGAAAGAAAAGCTACCGTCTCAGATATTATTTTCTTGCACGGATTTTCTGTAGAAAACTCGCCGAGTACATCCATAATTCAAGTCAATACAATTTCATTTCATTTTATAGGCTTAAAGGATACACTGATAAGTTGTTGTTTCTTATTCGATCATCGGTGCAATTGGGACAATGCCTGATGCAAAGGTAAGACGCTCGGTGCTGTTTTTGACTCTTCTGGTTCACATAGCGCGAGGACAAGTCAGCTACTCGATTCCTGAGGAAATGGAAAAAGGATCGATAGTGGGAAACATTGCGCAGGATTTGGGCTTGGATTTACAACGACTAAAGTCAGGAAAAGTGAGAATTTATTCAAGAGACAGTACGGAATACATTGAACTGAACAGAAACACTGGATCGCTGCTTAGCAGAGAGAAAATGGACCGCGAGTCTCTTTGTGCAAAAACAACTCCTTGTGCTTTGCATCTTCAAATGATTATGGAAAACCCAATGGAATTCTACACGATTACAATAGAAATCACGGATATCAATGATAACGCTCCTAGTTTCCAGAGAAAGGAATTTAGATTTGAGATCAGCGAATCGGCGGCGGCAGGTGTTGGTTTTATGCTCGGCAGAGCTTTCGATCCGGATGTAGGAACACATGCTCTTCAGAGATACTCGCTGAAACCGACTGATAAATTTCGGCTTGAACTGCACAATCAGGCAGACGGTAGTAAAATCGTCGAGATGATTTTACAAAACCCACTTGATAGAGAAACGCAAAGCTCACTTATTTTGTTGTTAGAAGCGTTTGATGGAAGCGATCCGGTGCTCTCCGGCACTGTGCAGATACATATCACTGTGTTAGATATTAATGATAATGCTCCTGTCTTTACACAAAAAATATATAAAACCACAATAACAGAAAATGCAACAAAAGGTACTATATTAACAATGGTGAGCGCGTCTGATACAGACGAAGGATCCAACAGTGTAGTAACGTACTACATATCTGACACAGTGGAGAAAAATGTGGCCGAAATATTCTTAATTAATGAAAAAAGTGGTGAACTAATTTTAAATGGTCTGGTTGACTATGAAAAGGTGAGCCATTATGAAATTAATATCCAGGCAAAAGATCAAGGAGGACTATCTAATGCATGCAAAGTAATTATCGATGTTCTCGACATTAATGATAATTCGCCTAGTATTAATATTGTGTCTAGTTCCCATTCAATATCTGAAGGGTCAAAGTCTGGTACTGTTGTTTCAGTCCTAAATGTTGATGATCTTGATTCAGGTGTAAATGGCCAGGTTCAGTGCGTCTTAAATGACGACATTCCCTTTTCTATTACTTCTCCGTCTAGCAATTTCTTCAGCTTGCAAACAGAGCAGGAATTGGACAGAGAAAGAGAAGCTGAGTACAATATCAGTGTAATATGTGCTGATGAGGGAGTACCAGCGCTCTGCAGCAGTGTCTCTCTCCGTGTGCAGATATCAGATGTGAATGACAATGCTCCTGTCTTTGAGAAAAGTCACTATGAGGCGTGTGTGCTGGAGAATAACACACCTGGTCTCTCTATATTTACAGTTAAAGCCAGTGATGCTGATTGGAATCAGAATGCCCGTGTTTCTTATATTCTAGAAGACAGCACTGTTAATGGAGTCTCTGTCTCATCATATGTGTCAGTTCATCCTGACAGCGGACTGATTACAGCTGTGCGCTCTTTTGACTATGAACAACTCAAAGATTTCCACTTCCTAGTAAAAGCGCAAGATGGAGGCTCTCCTCCGCTCAGCAGTAACGCGACAGTGAACATAATTATTCAAGATCAGAATGACAACGCTCCTCAAGATGGAGACAATCTCGCTTCTTATATCAGTCCAATCTGCCTGTTATTCCGTACTATCCACCGCATTACGCAGACACAGGAGTCACTGGAACTCTGCCGCACGGGTATAATTATGAAGTGTGCATGACGACTGACTCGAGGAAGAGTGGCTCTAAGTTTTCTACACTCGCTGGACATAATGTTTTAATGGTGGACCCGAGTTTCACTGAGACGATGCAGCGCGCAATCAAGGCAAATAACGGTTTAGAAAGTGAATATTCGACATCGGTAAGAACAATGCTTTATTCTTCACAAAACAAACAAACAAAATCAAATATTTCAATAAAATGGGTAAATAATAATAATAATAATTTGAAACATTATTAACACGATCTCTATTTGTAATTGTCATGTTAAAATATCAATTTAGATTACCTTCAGCACCACATATTGGACAGCGACATTGGACAGTGCAGTCTTAGTAAACGGCCTAAAATTCTCTTTCCGTTAGTTAAGAATAACTAGATTTTTAAATATCATTACTAATACTATTCTTTATTTTTTACTATTCTTTACTGTTTTTCGTTTTGATTTTTAATTTTTTAATTCCCCAAAATAAGCTGTGGTTTTATGTGTAGTGCTCGGTTTAGACTCACAGGGCCGCTGTTTGTCAACGTAGCACTTTGTCTGTGTGTATTTTAAACCCTGCCCCATCATCCCATATTCACAGTGAGAGAGGAAAGGAGGAAACGCTTTCAGATCGCTCAATATTGCATTGAAACCAATGCGACGTTTTGTACTTACTCGGATTAAAATAACTTGAATTTATATTTACCCTTTACAAGACGTCACTTCGAAATTGTTGAGAACCTTTTTTTTTTTTGTCTGTGGTTTGTCGGTGAAGTCGAAGAAAAAAATGCATTGTGTCGAGATGTGGTATTCGGTATTGTTTTCCGTCGTCCTGCTTCATTCGGCACGAGGACAAGTCAGTTACTCCATTCCAGAAGAAGTGGCCAAAGGCTACACTGTGGGAAATATCGCGCAGGATTTGGGCTTGGATTTACAACGGTTGAGGTCAGGAAAAGCACGCATATATACAGGCGACAGTACTGAATATATTGGTCTCAATAAAGACACTGGCTTGCTCTTCATCAAAGAGAAAATGGATCGCGAGTCTCTTTGTGCAAAAACAACCCCATGCGCTTTGCATCTTCAGTTGATTTTGGAAAACCCCATGGAATTATACACGATTACGGTTGAAATTATGGATATAAACGATAATCCACCCACTTTCCAGAAAAAGCGAATTGAGTTTGAAATTAGCGAATCGGCTGCAACAGGCGCGAGATTCATGTTAGAAAGAGCTATCGATGCGGATGTAGGAATTAATGGTCTTCAAAGCTATTCTCTTAAACCAACTGATAATTTTATCCTTGAACTGCACAGTCAAGCAAGTGGAGATAAAAACGTCGAGATGGTTTTGCAGAGACCACTTGATAGAGAAAAGAAAGGAGTGCTTACGTTATTGCTAACCGCTTTTGACGGCGGTGATCCGCAGTTATCTGGAACTGTTCAAATACATGTTACTGTATTAGATGTTAATGATAATGCTCCTGTGTTTACGCAGAAGGTATATAAAGCCATATTAACTGAAAATGCAGCGAAGGGGTTTAAATTGACCACAGTCAGTGCCACTGACGCAGATGAGGGATCTAATGGTCATGTGACGTACAACATTGCAAGCACTGAAGAGACAGGGCTAAACATGTTTATTATTGAACAGCATAGTGGCGAGGTAACTTTAAATGGCCTTGTTGACTTTGAAAAAGCAAATCATTACGAGCTTGATGTCCAGGCTAAAGATCAAGGGGGGCTTTCTGATTCCTGTAAGCTGATTATTGATGTGTTGGACATTAATGATAACAAACCAGTGATAAGCTTACTCTCTATGTCAAACTCTGTGTCTGAGGACTCCACGCCCGGAACAGTTGTTGCTATGATGAAAGTACATGATACAGACTCAGGTGTTAATGGCCAGATTCATTGCATCATAAATGACAACATTCCATTTGCTCTTATATCATCATCCAGTAATTTCATCAGCCTGCGTATAGAGCAGCAACTGGACAGAGAGAGAGATGCTGAATACAATATCAGTGTCACATGCTCTGATCAGGGGGTGCCTGCGCTCTCCAGCAGTGCCTCTCTGTCTTTACAACATGACGACTGACTCGAGGAAGAGTGACTGTAAGTTTTCTACACTCGGTGGACAGAATGTCTTAGTGGTGGACCCGAGTTTCACTGAGACGATGCAACGCGCAATCAAGGAAAATAACGGGTTGGAAAGTGAATATTCGACATCGGTAAGAACAATACTTTATACTTCACAAAACAAACAAAATCAAAATGTATGAAAAAAAAAAACATCGTTAAACTAATTACATGAAACATTAATTTTAAACATTATTAAAATTATCTTTTTATTATCTGTAGTTGTAATGCTAAAGTGTCTATTTAGATTAGGCCACTTTCAGCACCACATCATGGACAGCGCCATAGTGTAGTCTTGCCAGGTTAAATTAGACAGTAAGGGTCAAACTATTTATTTTCATTAGCTAAATCAAAACCATGCCAACAGAATAACTAGATTTTTAAAATAGCATTGCTACTACTGTTCTTTATTTTTATTTTAGTATTTTTCCACAAAAGTTTTGAAAAAAACACTTTCTGCAAAATTTAATCTGTTGTGATTTTATTTGTAGTGCTCGTTTTAAACTCACAGGGACGCTGTTTGTCAACGTAGCACTTTGTCTGTGTGTATTTTTAACCCTGCCCCATCATCCCATATTCACAGTGAGAGAGGAAAGGAGAAAACGCTTTCAGATCGCTCATTATTGTCAAGTGTCTTGAAACCAACGCGACATTTTGTACTTACTGTGATTAAAGGATTTTGAATTTACTATTTACCCATTACAATACGCCTCTTCGAAATCGTTGGGAACCTTTTTTTTCTCTCTGTGGTTTGTCGGTGATATCGAGGAAAAAAATGCATTGTGTCGTGATATGGTATTCGGTATTGTTTTCCGTCGTCCTGCTTCATTCGGCACGAGGACAAGTCACTTACTCCATTCCAGAAGAAATGACTAAAGGCTCAATTGTGGGAAATATCGCTCAGGATTTGGGCTTGGATTTACAAAGACTAAGGTTAGGAAAAGCGCGCATATATACAGGCGACAGTACTGAATACATTGGTCTCAGTAAAGACACTGGCTTGCTGCTTATCAAAGAGAAAATGGATCGCGAGTCTCTTTGTGCAAAAACGACCCCGTGCGCTTTGCGTCTTCAGCTGATTTTGGAAAACCCCATGGAATTATACACGATTACGGTTGAAATCACGGATATAAACGATAATCCACCCACTTTCCAGAAAAAGCTAATTCAGTTTGAAATCAGTGAATCGGCTGTAACAGGCGCGAGATTCTTGCTGGAGGGAGCCGTGGATGCGGACGTAGGAGTTAATGATCTTCAAAGCTATTCTCTTAAACCAACTGATAATTTTGTCCTTGAACTGCACAGTCAGTCAGACGGTGATAAAAGCGTCGAAATGGTTTTGCAGAGATCACTTGATAGAGAAAAGAAAGTAGTGGTTACATTATTGCTAACCGCTTTTGACGGCGGTGATCCGCAGTTATCGGGAACTGTTCAAATAGATGTTACTGTACTCGATGCTAATGATAATGCCCCTGTCTTTACGCAAAAGGTATATAAAGCCATATTAACTGAAAATGCAGCGAAGGGGTTTAAATTGACCACAGTCAGTGCCACTGACGCAGATGAGGGATCTAATGGTCATGTGACATACTACGTTGCAAGCAAAGATGATATTGTGCGAAATATGTTTATTATTGATCAGCATAGTGGCGAGGTAACTTTAAATGGCTTCGTTGACTTTGAAAAGGCAAGTCACTATCAGATTGATATTCAGGCTAAAGATCAAGGGGGGCTTTCTGATTCCTGTAAGCTGATTATTGATGTGTTGGACATTAATGATAACAAACCAGTGATAAGCTTACTCTCTATGTCAAACTCTGTGTCTGAGGACTCCACACCCGGAACAGTTGTTGCTATGATGAAAGTAGATGATACAGACTCAGGTGTTAATGGCCAGATTCATTGCACGATAAATGACAACATTCCATTTGCTCTTATATCATCATCCAGTAATTTCATCAGCCTGCGTATAGAGCAGCAACTGGACAGAGAGAGAGATGCTGAATACAATATCAGTGTCACATGCTCTGATCAGGGGGTGCCTGCCCTCTCCAGCAGTGCCTCTCTGTCTTTACAAATATCAGATGTGAATGACAATGCTCCTGTCTTTGAGAAAAGTTACTATGAGGCATGTGTGGTGGAGAATAACACACCTGGTCTCTTTATATTTACAGTTAAAGCCAGTGATGCTGATTGGAATCAGAATGCCCGTGTTTCTTATATTCTAGAAGACAGCACTGTTAATGGAGTCTCTGTCTCATCATATGTGTCAGTTCATCCTGACAGCGGACTGATTACAGCTGTGCGCTCTTTCGACTATGAACAGCTGAAAGATTTCCACTTCCGGGTAAAAGCACAAGATGGAGGCTCTCTTCCACTCAGCAGTAACGCAACAGTGAAAATTACTATTCAAGATCAGAATGACAACGCTCCTCACGTTCTGTATCCAGTACTGACTGGTGCTTCTGTGGTGGCTGAGATTGTGCCTCGTGCTGCAGATGTTGGATATCTGGTCACTAAAGTGGTGGCTGTTGATGTGGACTCTGGACAGAATGCCTGGCTCTCATATAAACTACAGAAAGCTACAGGCAGAGCGCTGTTTGAAGTGGGTTTACAGAATGGAGAAATAAGAACTGTGCGACAAGTGACTGATAAAGATGCGGTCAAACAAAAACTGACGGTTGTTGTAGAGGATAAAGGACAGCCCTCTCGCTCAGCTGTGGTCTCCATTAACGTAGCTGTAGCTGACAGCTTTCCTGAAGTGCTGTCAGAGTTCACAGACTTTACCCATGAAAAACAATATAATGACAGCCTGACTTTTTATTTAATCTTGGCTCTCACAGTGGTCTCCCTGCTCTTCATAGTCTCAATTATTTTAATAATTTCAGTGAAAATCTACAGATGGAGGCAGAATAAGCTATTGTATAAGTCTGGGGCAAATCTACCTGTAATTCCATATTACCCTCCAGTCTACGCAGACGGCACATTACAGCATGTGTATAATTATGAATTGTGCGGAACCACTGATTCAAGGATGAGTGACATGAAGTTTGTCAGGCCCTACAGTCAGAACACACTGGTGAGCCAGAGTCGTTTGGAAACAGTTCAGAGAGAAAAGAAGGAGCAGGAGGTTGACGACCTGACTTTAGAGGTGAGACCTTGTTTGATGTTTTAAAATCATCTCATCATCTCATGGAGACCAGAGAGTGTTGTACTTCTATGACGTGTGTTCCAGACCTTGATATCATGTACTCACTATTATCCTCTACAGTTTTAAGAGGTCACCCCCCTCACCCACCCATGACTTAAGAATTGCCAGAAAAAGAAAATATTACATGAATATGTAAATCATAAGCTAACAATTAACAATAAATAAACAGATCAGGCAGTTTGCATGTGCCTGTTAGTTACTCTCACAATTGTCTAAAATGTTGGCTCATACAGTGGATCCAAAAAGTATCTAGACACTTGTCACAATTAAAAAAGCAAATGCTTTATAAAACAAAATATCAAAACAACTTGCATTTACATCACAAATACACATTTCAGTCAAAATATTTCACAAAATGTTCTTTCTTTAGTTTCAAAATATGAAGCAATAAATAAAAACCAGTCATCTAAATATGAAAGATAACATGTCAAAGTACAGGTCATTCTGTGAAGCATGCTAGCATAAGTTTGCTCAGTTTGCTTCTTTGCTCAGACATGATACTTAAAGTATTATTAAGGTGAATATTTTAAAATCGTTTTTTTTTTAATGTTATATAAATGTTAAATTGTGCTGGATCATGTAATACACATTTTGTAATTTAATATGCATTTATTTGATCACAAAATAAATTATAAACCATAAGTGTTTTATAAGTAGTTTATATTTTTACTCAGAGTCTTACAAGTTATGTGCATAATACAAGTACGTAACGCATGATTTTATATATAGGATATTTAACTTTTTTTTTTTTAAATCCTTAATATATTTTTCCATTAAATGACTATTTTGTAGTGCTGTATTTGGGCTCTAAGTGCCGCTGTTCAACCTATATTGCCTTTCTGGTGTGGTGTGTTCTTTTAGCCCTCCCTTTAACGAAACCCAAAGCAATGGCATAATTCAGATGGGGATGCTACATAAAAGACCACCATCAGATTCATCTCCAGGTTCTTTAACACGAACGAAGACGCAATTTGCTGGAAACATATTTAGTCGCACATTTTGCTTTTTTGAATGCTTTTGCTCTGTCTTTGTTGATCAAAAATGGAGTCGGGAGGAAAAGGCTGGCGTTATGGGTCGTTATTCTTCTATACAGCATGTGCGTTGGCTTTATTTTCCCCTCGCGTGACCGGACAGATTCGTTATTCTATACCTGAGGAAATGCCAGTGGGCTCGTTTGTTGGAAATATTGCCTCGGACATTGGGCTTGAGCCGAAGAGACTGATTTCAGGAAAAGCGCGTGTTTTCACCGCAGACAGCAGTGAGTACATTGGACTGGATAAGGAGAATGGGCATCTGGTTGTTAAAAACAAAATAGACAGAGAAGAGCTATGCGGAGAGATATCTGCCTGTAGTGTGAGTTTTGATGTCATTTTTGAGAATCCGATGGAGCTTTATCGAGTTAGTGTTGACATACAGGACATAAATGACAACAGCCCCGTCTTTCCGAAATCTAAAATCGAGCAAAAAATCAGCGAATTGGCGGTTCTAGGTGCGCGATTTCCATTAGAGAGCGCAATAGATCCAGATGTGGGCGTGAACACGCTAAAGAAATATACTCTTCAACCCACCGATCATTTCAAGCTTAATGTTCAGAATGGCGCTGGTGGTAACAAAAACGTCGAGATGGTTCTTCATTCTCCTCTTGATAGAGAAAAGAAGCAGCATCATAATCTGATTCTAACCGCTTTCGATGGTGGAAAACCACAAAGGTCCGCAACTGTGCAGATTAATATCATTGTTCTAGATGTCAATGACAACGCACCTGTGTTTAGCCAGTCGTCTTATAAAACATCAGTTGTTGAAAATGCTCCTAAAACTACAATCGTGACTAAAATCAGTGCGACCGATGCTGACGAGTCTAGTCACGGCATTCAATATAATTTTGAGCACGTGACATACACGGTGAAAGCTTTGTTCTCCATAGATGCGGATTCTGGGGAGGTTAAAGTCATAGGCGATATAGATTATGAAAAACACAAGCAGTTTACAGTCAAAGTCAAAGCTTCAGATCACGGAGGTTTGACTGACTCGAGTGAAATAATTATTGACGTCATTGACGTAAATGACAACGCACCAAAAATTACAATAATGTCTTTTTCTAGTGCAGTATCTGAAGACGCAATACCTGGAACTGTTATAGCAATGATAAATGTTCAGGATCTGGATTCAGGTGACAACAATAAGATTACATGTTCAATTGATTTAAACTCTCCATTTAAAATCGTATCCTCCTTAACTAATTATTACAACCTGGTGACAGACTCAGAACTAGACAGGGAACAAACAGCAGAGTATAATATCACTATAACTGCTGTAGATGGGGGAAACCCACCTCTTTCAAGTAAAGAAATTTTGAACCTAAAGCTATCTGATGTGAATGATCACGCACCTCAGTTTGAGCAGGAATCATATAATGCCTTCATAGCTGAAAATAACCCTCCATCTACAACTATTCTGACTGTTAAAGCAATCGACATGGACTGGGGGCAAAATGCGAAGGTTTCATATTTTCTTATCGACGGAGATTTGAATGGAGCACCTCTGGCCTCTTACATCTCCATAAATTCAGAGAGCGGTGTGATCTATGCAGAAAAATCCTTTGATTATGAACAACTGAAATCATTCAAAATGCAAGTCAAAGCTCAAGATGGGGGCTCACCCCTTTTATCCAACAACGTGACTGTAAATATTATAATCCAAGATCAGAATGACAACGCTCCTCAGGTTCTGTATCCAATACAGACTGGTGCTTCTGTGGTGGCTGAGATTGTGCCTCGTGCTGCAGATGTTGGATATCTGGTCACTAAAGTGGTGGCTGTTGATGTGGACTCTGGACAGAATGCCTGGCTCTCCTATAAACTACAGAAAGCTACAGACAGAGCGCTGTTTGAAGTGGGTTTACAGAATGGAGAAATAAGAACTGTGCGACAAGTGACTGATAAAGATGCGGTCAAACAAAAACTGGCTGTTGTTGTGGAGGATAACGGACAGCCCTCTCGCTCAGCTGTGGTCTCCATTAACGTGGCTGTGGCTGACAGCTTTCCTGAAGTGCTGTCAGAGTTCACAGACTTTACACATGAAAAACAATATATTGACAACTTGACGTTTTATTTAATATTGGCTCTCGCAGTGGTCTCCCTGCTCTTCATAGTCTCAATTATTTCAATAATTTCAGTGAAAATCTACAGATGGAGGCAGAATAAACTATTTTATCAATCTGGGGCAAATCTACCTGTAATTCCATATTATCCTCCAGTCTACGCAGACGGCACATTACAGCATGTGTATAATTATGAATTGTGCGGAACCACTGATTCAAGGATGAGTGACATGAAGTTTATCAGGCCCTACAGTCAGAACACACTGGTGAGCCAGAGTCGTATGGGAACAGTTCAGAGAGAAAAGAAGGAGCAGGAGGTTGACAACCTGACTTTAGAGGTGAGACCTTGACTGATGTTTTAATATAATCTCATCAGACTTCATTTAATAAGAGCCCAGGGAGTATTGCAACACTTTTTTGTTTAATGTCTATTACTCAAACTTTTATGTCATTTTCCCACCTTTTTCCACTACAGCTTAAAGTTGTTATGAAATCTCTGTCTTCTCCCTAAAAAAACTGGCAATAATTGGAAAAACGACATTGAACAAATGCATAAAACAGAATAAGAATAAATAACAGACTGTGTGTGGGTAGCTCACTCTCACAGTTGTTTAATGAAGGGCTATACACTGTCGTTTTGTGCAGTTTTGTTAGTCTTGTAGAAGTACATTGGAAATGTATTTCTTTTTATTAATTTATATTTTAGTTGAATATTTTGAGGAGATATTATATATAAAATTAGACAAGATAATCTGCTGAATTAGTTATGTTCTGTAAATTCTTCAGATTTTTAACACAATGTTACAAATGCTGCTCTCACCTCAGGAAGATGATGGTCTTGTATGATAGTGAATTCACCCCTGTATAAAATTAAAGGGATAGTTCACTCAGAAATTAGAATTCTGTAATTATTTACTCACACTCATGTAGTTTCCGAATCTATATGACTTACTTTTGTGGAACTTAAAAGAAAATATTTTGAGAAATGTCTCTTTTTTTGTTTTTATGCCTCTCTCTCTCTCTCTCTCTCTCTCTCTATATATATATATATATATATATATACAGAATTACAAATTTTAGGGGGAATATCCCTTTAATAAATAGTTAAACTAACAGTATTACAACCCTGTACTACAACAGTACCCTGTTTGAGGTTCTCAGATTTATGAAGCATGTGTCCCAATCCTCTTTGCCTTCTCACACTTTGATCTTTTAAGCTGTGGCATCTTATCAGAATGCATAACCTCATATATGGTTTCTTTAACTTTAACTTTTTATTTTTATTTTTTTTTATTTAAGTCCTTTATTGGTCTCCTTTTCTTTCTTTTCATAAAGTGGCCATTCCGTAGTACTGTATTTGGACTCTAAGTGCCGCTGTTCAACATATTAAGCAAGTGTGTTTTTATCCCTCCCGTTAACAAAACCCAAAGCAATGGCATAATTTCACACATCATAAACCGCTAACCTTGGATGCTACGTAACAGATATCCAAATAACGTTTACCTTCGTTAGTTTCTTTAATCCACACGAAGACGCAATTTGTTGGAAACATATAATTCATCGCACATTTTCCTTTGAATGCTTCTGCTCAGTCTTTGTTGATCAAAAATGGAGTCGGGAGGAAAAGGCTGGCGTTATGGGTCGTTATTCTTCTATACAGCATGTGCGTTGGCTTTATTTTCCCCTCGCGTGACCGGACAGATTCGTTATTCTATACCTGAGGAAATGCCAGTGGGCTCGTTTGTTGGAAATATTGCCTCGGACCTTGGGCTTGAGCCGAAGAGACTGATTTCAGGAAAAGCGCGTGTTTTCACCGCAGACAGCAGTGAGTACATTGGACTGGATAAGGAGAATGGGCATCTGGTTGTTAAAAACAAAATAGACAGAGAAGAGCTATGCGGAGAGATATCTGCCTGTAGTGTGAGTTTTGATGTCATTTTAGAAAATCCAATGGAGCTTTATAGAGTTACAATTGACATACAAGACATTAACGACAACAGTCCTGTTTTTCCGAAATCTAGAATTGAGCAAGAAATCAGCGAATTAGCGGTTCTAGGTGCGCGATTTCCATTAGAGAGCGCAATAGATCCAGATGTGGGAGTGAACTCGCTACAGAAATATACTCTTCAACCCACCGATCATTTCAAGCTCGATGTTCAGAATGGTGATGACGGTAGTAAAAACGTCGAGATGGTTCTTCATTCTCCTCTTGATAGAGAAAAGAAGCAGCATCATAATTTGATTCTGACGGCTTTCGATGGTGGAAAACCACAAAGGTCCGCAACTGTGCAGATTATTATCATTGTTCTAGATGTCAATGACAACGCTCCCGTGTTTACCCAGTCGTCTTATAAAACATCAGTTGTTGAAAATGCTCCTAAAAGCACAATCGTAACAAAAGTCAGTGCGACCGATGCTGACGAGTCTAGTCACGGCATTCAGTACTATTTTGAGCACGCGACATCTATGGTGAAAGCTTTGTTCTCCATCGATGCGGATTCTGGGGAGGTTAAAGTCATAGGTGATATAGATTATGAAAAACACAAGCAGTTTAAAATCAAAGTCAAAACTAAAGATCACGGAGGTTTGACTGACTCGAGTGAGATAATAATTGACGTCATTGACGTAAACGATAACACGCCCAAAATTACAATAATGTCTTTTTCCAGTGCAGTATCTGAAGACGCAGCACCTGGAACTGTTATAGCAATGATAAATGTTCAGGATCTGGATTCAGGTGACAACAGTAAGATTACATGTTCAATTGATTTAAACTCTCCATTTAAAATCGTATCATCATTAACTAATTATTACAACCTGGTGACAGACTCAGAACTAGACAGGGAACAAACAGCAGAGTATAATATCACTATAACTGCTGTAGATGGGGGAAATCCACCTCTTTCAAGTAAAGACATTTTGAACCTAAAGCTATCTGATGTGAATGATCACGCACCTCAGTTTGAGCAAGAATCATATAATGCCTTCATAGCTGAAAATAACCCTCCATCTACAACTATTCTGACTGTTAAAGCAATCGACATGGACTGGGGGCAAAATGCGAAGATTTCATATTTTCTTATCGACAGAGATTTGAATGGAGTACCTCTGGCATCATACATCTCTATAAATTCAGAGAGTGGAGTGATATATTCAGAAAAATCATTTGATTACGAACAACTGAAATTATTCAAAATGCAAGTCAAAGCTCAAGATGGGGGCTCACCCCTTTTATCCAACAACGTGACTGTAAACATTATAATCCAAGATGAGAATGACAACGCTCCTCAGGTTCTGTATCCAGTACAGACTGGTGCTTCTGTGGTGGCTGAGATTGTGCCTCGTGCTGCAGATGTTGGATATCTGGTCACTAAAGTGGTGGCTGTTGATGTGGACTCTGGACAGAATGCCTGGCTCTCCTATAAACTACAGAAAGCTACAGACAGAGCGCTGTTTGAAGTGGGTTTACAGAATGGAGAAATAAGAACTGTGCGACAAGTGACTGATAAAGATGCGGTCAAACAAAAACTGACTGTTGTTGTGGAGGATAACGGACAGCCCTCTCGCTCAGCTGTGGTCTCCATTAACGTGGCTGTGGCTGACAGCTTTCCTGAAGTGCTGTCAGAGTTCACAGACTTTACGCATGAAAAACAATATAATGACAGCCTGACTTTTTATTTAATCTTGGCTCTCACAGTGGTCTCCCTGCTTTTCATAGTCTCAATTATATCAATCATTTCAGTGAAAATCTACAGATGGAGGCAGAATAAGCTATTGTATAAGTCTGGGGCAAATCTACCTGTAATTCCATATTACCCTCCAGTCTACTCAGACGGCACATTGCAGCATGTGTATAATTATGAAATGTGCGGGACAACTGATTCAAGGATGAGTGACATGAAGTTTATCAGGCCCTACAGTCAGAACACACTGGTGAGCCAGAGTCGTATGGGAACAGTTCAGAGAGAAAAGAAGGAGCAGGAGGTTGATGATCTGACTTTAGAGGTAAGATTCTCATAAGTGCTCATTGCAACAGCAGGAGTTAAAAAGCTTGAAAAAAGCTTTAAAAATTTTTTTTTTAAAGATAAACAGCAAGTAATTTACTTTAAAAACCTTATATGTTAGCAGAGGTTGATATGTATTGTTTTGTTTTGTGTAACTAGATTGCTAGTTCAGTTTCTCAAACACGTCACAATATTGGTGCACAGTGAATTCTATTCCACCCACAAAACACCCACACACGCTCTGATACTCAGTGTTGACACATTTTATCTTTCTCAGGCTTTCATGAAGAGATTATGTGACATTTATTTAAATATACAGCAATACATGCAATACAATTTTATTACAATTCAAAACATTAAACATTTTTAGTTTTGTGTGGCCACTTTAATACAAAATTGAATACAACATAAAAAAGGAGTTACACTACTGTGAGATTTTGACAGGTAATTCCGTCATGCAGTTGTCCAGGTTTTAGCTGGATTTGCCATAATAATAGCTTCAATAATTGCTGTTTTTATACTTTTCCCTGTTCAAGTGATTCCATGGAGCTGCAGTTATGTATCAGTATGTCAGGGCTCTATAATACTGCAAATATTCCTCTGCCGTTGCAGCTATTTTTGTGTTGTGATTTCTGCATGTTTAAAACATTGAGGTGTTTTCTAAAAGGCATTGATAGATACAGAATATGTGCATTTTTACCACATTTATCAGTTTTTAACATGTGCTACATTATCTGAAACACAATCAAAATTACTCATTAGGTCATAGTACTGTCCGTAATCTGTATCAATTCAATTCAAGTTTATTTGTATAGCGCTTTTTACGATACAAATCGTTGCAAAGCAACTTTACAGAAAATTAAGTTTCTACAATATTTAGTAGTAGCTTATCAGTGGGGACTGTCAGTTTATGTACATATTGGAGAAATGTACGGAAAAATCAATTTAAGAGGTAATCGAACAGACGATGAACACTATTAACAGCAATTATTATATGATGCAATCAAACTTATAGCAAAATGTGGTAGTTCTGTATGTTGTTTCAGGGTTGGCATCATCTGAGGTCCTCTGAGGGGTTGGCATCATCTCTTCTAAGGTGTTCTGGATCCGGACTGAAGCTTGTGTAAATCCTAGTTACATCCCGTGGCAGAAACAGAGAAACAAATAGAGACATAGTTAGCGTAGCTGCTGTTCCAACCAAGTAAAATTAATTTGTTTAACCCAAGCTAAAGAATAATAATACGCATTTGATCAGATATAACTGCAGTACAAGATTATGAGATGCGTTATTTGAATGCTTGGCCAAAGAGATGTGTCTTTAATCTAGATTTAAACAGAGAGAGTGTGTCTGAACCAGAACCAAATATGCCTGTATCAGAGACAGGCATATTTCTGTCATCAACTGTTTTTCAGATTTATGATTGCCTATTACATTATGAAAACCCAGTTTTGGTGGGCTTTTTAATGCAAACCTTGTTGTTAGAAGAGTGTGAAGTTGAATGAAGTGTATAAAATGAGGATATCAAATACTCAATTTACTGCTTGGATTTTCTTTCAGTCTCTGTCAATCAAGTCTCTCTGTCCCTCAATGCTGAATATGCATCCTGCACAGTGAGCTCTTGTGTGTTATATTGAGAGATACTCATTGCATGCTGCTACAAACTGTCTTTATATGGGAGGGGAAAAAAACCACAAACAAAATACAGAAGAGTGAACTAGCGTAGTAATTTGTTTATCATAGTGACCTCTTCCTTTGCAGTAAAATGGTGTCCTCACATTACCAACAACTATTTAGTACATAAAGTGATCAGTGCAGATGTACTACAGTGAATTTTACATCAAATTAGAAGTGAAGGATCAATGTGAGTAAAGCTCAGACAGCACATAAGATCTGTGCTGGTGTTTGTGAGAATGCTGACTCTCAGCCAGGGGGGAAGGAGGGGTCTTTTCTCTCTGCAGTGGGATTCTTTTTCCTGCTTTTGCCTCCTCAAAGCTGCTTGTGTCTGTATGTGCCTACATACGAGCTACAAACAGTGATATTGTCAATGTCAAAAATTTTATATTTATATATATATAATAATAATATATATATAAATATATTTATAATTTTATATATTTGCAGGTCCTTACATATGTAATATAAAGGTTTATATGCAGTGCTTAAAAAAACCCTCTTATTTTATTTTCCTTTACATGCTTGCTTCTGTTTATTCGGACAGCTTGAACACAACCCACACCACCTACAGATATGCATATCCATACACTCTCTTTCTCCTCTAACACACATATTACTCCCTTGACAACATGCGTTTCTATGACAACAGACTGAGCCAGACCATTCCATTTCTTCCTTAGGGGTGTGAGGGCTTGTCCATGTTGTTTGTGTGTAAGGGGGGACTCTTGAAGTCAAAGAGTCAGTATACCCCCCTTTCTGGCTCTCCCATGCTCCCTCTTGTGCTCAGTAGAAGTGTTTACCATTGTAAGGGTCACCATTATCAATATAGCTTATTTGTTGTAGTTTTTTTTTGTTTGTTTGTTTTTGTTTTTTAAATTGTACATATTGCACAGTTACCATTGGTAAAATGATTGATTTTGGCATTTGTTGTGATTGCATACTGCTCATCATCTTCTCTTTTAGAAGCAGAGATGATAAAACATCTATTCCACCCACAAATAATTATGATTAAAATATAATAATTGATGTATATATATATATATACACACACTAAAAATACTAACCATGTTTTTGTCTCTTTTTTTCTCTCTTCACTTTTGTCTGCTACATTCCACCTCTTCACCTGACTTTCACCAACAAAGGTAAGAACAAATTCCCTTTTCTGTTAAAAATGTGTTAATGCTTCTGAAATGCAATGCTTAGTACATATGAACAGTGTCAACGTTTTCTTATTACATTTTAATTGGAGGAGGCAAATGTGTTGTTTTTTTCATATGTAGGGTACAATTGTGCTCAATGCACATTTGATATTTATCTCTAAATGATAAACAACAACATCAACACTTGTTTGTTACTATACACACTGCCAAAAACTTTGTGCAGCTAATGAAAATCCCTGAAATGATGATAAAATATTTTAGACAAAAGATGTGTTATGATTTTTAGCTGTTCAGTGTAATTCAATATTACATTTTATTACATAAATATTGTATTGCAATATCAAATATAGTTGCATATTGTGACAAACTTTTATTTATCACTACTGCCCCATTATCAATATAGTCTGCCCTGGGGCCTTATGCACAGGATAGGGGGCCTTTATCTACAATGATAGGTGAAAGACCTGTCTAGCTGCCTTTATATTTACTGTATTTTGAATTACACTGTCAGTTAAAATGAAATAAGAGTAATAATATGACTGTCATATTCATTGAAAGGGGGCTTTTAGCCCTGTTGTACCCAAATGTGTTTGCCTAATATGTTAGCCAGATGTGTATTGCCATTTTGATTCCAAATGCAACACATGAACAACACTCATAGTACAAAGTCCAGTGTCTGGCACACTGTCAGTGCAAAAAACGCAATAACAGAGGAAAAATGTTTTTGTAGCTAAACTGATGCTGTTACAACGAAGAAAAAAAAACAGGTAAGTAAACAGCTTTATTCTGGATGTTTATTCAAACATCAATTTCTTCTGATGATCCCAATCGACGTAAAAATATTTTTCAGTGGACCTCATGCTGACGTAAGTATTTTGCGAAGATACAGCTTTCCATGTATGAAAAGCATGGACATAGTGGTTACTTTGTCTGAGCATACAAGTGCAGCTGCAGGAATAGCCCGCCTGTGTGGCGCTGTCCACTCAAGTGGTGCTGAAACGCTCACTTCACTCTGGCTGCTTGCGGTCTCCCCCTGCTCATGGTTGAGTCCTTTGTTGCAAGAGGATCATGCAGTAATGTACGGATAAAGAGCATTTGAACCACTAATATGAATGTTAATGTAATTATTTTACTTTTAAAGACGATAATTATAACAAAACGTTAATATTTCTAAAAATGGCAGTTGATCTTATTAAAATGTAGAATCGTTATACGCTTTCATTAATAACCTCCACACAAAGCAATGCACGCACCTGCTCAAACGTCGGTACTCCTGCGCTTATCTCTGTCGCCACATGATGGCACACGCTCATATTATTTTTAAAGCAGTTCTGTTTTAGATAATAGAAGCGCACACACAATAGACACACACACACACACACACACACACACACACACAATATATGTATTAATAAAATAAAAAAATAAAAAAAAATAATTATTAATATTATTTATATTTTAATCTCTTATTTTTAGACATGTAGTGGCTCTGAATCACTCTAAATCACTTTGACTTGCCTTACTCGTACTAGCCCTTTAAGATATTTTAAGAATTTGATTGGTTGAAGATAAATGTACAGTCGACCAATGAGGTACAGACTTAGACAAAGAGATCCACTCCCTCCCACTGCTGTGGCATCTTTCTGAGCTCTGAGCACAGCGAACGCATGAAATACTCATTTCTATCAAAAGGACCTCTTACACGTAATAGGAATATGCAATCAATATACTTTCTGGGATTATGCAATTTTGAATATTTTGAAATCTTGAGAAAACGTGGATAAATCGTCAAAAGCTTGGAGCCGGAGATGATGGAATGTCTATTCGTTTTGAGGAGAATTTGGTGGTGCTGTGTCTTTATTCTTCCTTGGAGTACAATAGAGGCGCAGATACGATACACAATTCCAGAAGAGCTAAGAGAAGGATCTGTGGTCGGAAATATCGCTAAAGACCTCGGTTTGGATTTATCTAAGATTATAGATCGTAAACTACAAATAGCAACTGAGACTGGTAAGCAGTATTTCGCCGTGGATGTGGAAAAGGGTGATCTTATTGTGAATGAGAGAATTGATAGAGAGGGTTTATGTGGATACAATGTCCCGTGTGTTTTGCCTCTTCAAGCCGTTTTAGAGAATCCTCTGCAGATGCATCGGGTTGAGATTGAAG